TTGCCCACTGAGTGTGGTGACTGTCCTGCACACAGGGTAGCCAGGGTGCTCCCCAAAGAGCCTTCCTAACAGGCAGGATGGACAATACACAGCAATTCCTGTAATCGGAAACAGGCAGGAGGAAGGAATGCCCCTGGTGGCGGAGCGAGGAGCTGGCCTGGGAAGGCAGACCGTGGCCCACCTCACAGATCCCTGAATGAGGGGAGCAAACTGCGCACACCTACGGATGGGGAAGGGCCTGGCCAGAGGGTGGCCCTGGTTGGAGCTAGGCAGGGCCTTCGAGAAGGGGCAGGGTCAGTTGGGTTTTTCCCACGCACCGGAATCCACAGGCTGTGGTGGCCACTGGGAGAAGCCGCTGGGGACAGAGGAGCAGAGGGGCCATCACACTCCCAAGCAGGTGCCTGCTCAGTGACATCCCCAAAGTATCCGTGGCCAAACAGTGCAAAGCCACAGCATGGGCCGGGTGCAGAATCCAGCCAAGCCTCTGACACCAGGGCTGCCTGGCAAACCACCCCCTCCCCAAGGTACTGGGAGCCAACACAGAAAAGAGCCATGTACCTGGGGAGGACCCAATGACACAGGGAGGGCCCTAGGGACCACTGAGGACTCAGAGGGGTCACAGCTCTCTGAACAGTCGCCAAGGCAGACCCTTCCGAGACCCATCAGCCAGGAGGCAGCAGTCCAGGAACTGTCCCACCACAGTGGGGAGACCCCACACAGGACTGGGTGGGCGGCCAGGGCCCTGGGGAGGCTGCCTTTGGCTTTGCCAGGGCAAGAGTGTTAGACCCAGTATCCAGGGAGCGCCATGTGATCAAGGAACCCCAGCTCCTCAAGTCCCACTCTGGGTCCTGGGCTGGGACTGGGGGAGGCCATGACCTAGTAGCAGGGAGGGGCTGAGGGCCGACAGCTCACACAGGGTCTCCCTAGGCACTTTCTCAGAGAAACTAGGACTCATAAACATCCGTGCTTATGAGGAACGGGCATCTGGGCCCCAGTAGACTAACCCAGGCAGGGCAGCCCCGGAACCTGGTAACACCAGCCAGAGGAATCCAAGACCCAGGCCTGTCTTGCTGCCAGTGACCTGGTGTGAGTGGAGACTCTGCTTCTCCTCTGGGAGTGCTGACAGCAGTTCCTCCAAACCCTGGGGCCGGAACAGCAGACTGAGGGACGGGTAGGAAATGCCCCTCATGTGTCCACCAAGCTCTGGGCCAGAGGCAGATGCCTGGCCTGGCTCCTGTCAAAGCCTGGGGTCAGCCTGGTTGTCCACATGAGTCCACTCTGCAAGCTGGGCCCTTTCTGTCCACCACAGGTGTGCCCAGGCCCTGCCAGGCCCACACGCTCACCCAGCATGCTGGTGATGAGTCTGGAAAGGTGGCCACTTCCCAGGCAGGGCCCAAGGCTCATCCCAGACCATAAGGGAAGGGGGCAGGCCACCGGCATGTGTCCGCCATCCCAGGTGAATGAAGCAGAGGGCCCTCCCATCCTAGCAGATGATGACACCACGGGCCACCCACCTGCCACAACTTTTCATTGGCATTAAACAGCAGATGTTTCCATGTGGCTGGCAGGAGTCCCATCACCTCCTGCCACCAAGAAGCTCCCCAGCCTGGGCGCGGGGTGGTGGGTGGGAGAGCTGGCCTGGCCCGGAGTGTACAGCCTGGTCAGCACCCTCTGTATAGGCCAGCCAGGCTTAGGGCACCATGCCTGTCATCTCACGGTGGCCGAGCACAGCGATGGGCCCCAGGAGGACGCACCACGAAGCTGGCCCCACATCGCCCACGCTGGATCTCATTCTGTCACGCAGACTGGGGTGCAGTGGTGACAGTCACAGCTCACTATACCCTAGAACTCTCAGACCTAAGCAATCTTCTAACCTCAGCTTCCTGAGTAGCTGGGACTACAGGCATGTGCCACCACATCTGGCTAATTCTTGTGTTTTTTGCAGAGATGGGGTTCTGCCATGTTGCCCAGGCTCTTGAGCCCCTGGGTTCAAGCAATCATCCGCCTCAGCCTCCCAAAGGGTTGGGATTCCAGGCATGAGCCTCCATGCCTGGCCAGTGTCTCATGTCCTCATTCCGCGGCTGCCCACAGACCCATCCCCAGGAGAAAAGGGAAGGAATAAACAGAAGGCAAGGGGCACACGGATAGCAGAGGGACAAACCCCCAGAATCTCCTGCCCGCAGCCAGCCGAGGTCTGACTCCAGGCCCAGAGGACTCTGAGGGCCGGGGAGGCGGGGAGGGGAGGAGAGGCACCGAAGAGTCAGGCTGGAACCTTCCTAACAGCCTCAGTCCGCAGGCGTAAGCAGCCACACTGCTGCTGAACAAGGCACTTTTGAATTCAATTAAAGCGATTATCTGTTGTGCCAAATAAATTGTGTACAGCATAGATCCTGCGGCACTTTACACCTCCAGGCTCATTATTCCCTAACTGTTCCCTCCTGTTTATGCCTCTCAAATTAAACTGCTGATCATATGCGCCAAAATAAAAAATGAACGCACCTTGTCCTGAGAAAATTGATTCTCCCTTTTCCTGAACTGGCGATTGCCAGGTTTTATATACTCTGTTCTTGGTGATCATTAGTAATTCAATTTTCTTTTTATTAGCCCCCTTATCTGCTGAGCAATATAGTGGCAGGGCTGACCTCTTTCGCACGGGTAAATGTTTAAAATCTTTTCCCTGATTAATTTTGCCAGTTAAGAAAAAGAGAAGAAATGGCCCGGCTCTTAGCCATCACAATGAATAAAGCTTAATGTTGATTGTGATGGAATTTCTAATGCCAGGGAAATTGATTGAACGTGGCAATTACGCTGCAATAGTAACTCAGGGGAGATGGGATCGCTTTCTCCTGGCTGTAGCCTTTTGGTTATTTAAAATAATCCAATTTGCAAGGATAATTATGTATTAGCGTTTTATCTGCCACTTGAAATGAACAGGGGAGTTTCGATACTGGCCCGGCATTAGCAGGTTATTACTGCAAATTACTTGATATCTGCTTTCTCTCACATAAAGGGGAAATCAGTCAATCAATTACCAAAAAAGGGCGGATGGGGGGGATAGCGGGGCAAGCGCGCCCTCTGCTGGCCACTGGCAGCACAGCAGGGCTGCCTGGAAGCCTCCAGAAGCCCCGTCCCTAGTGCAGGACCCCACAGGGCAGTCCCCGCTGGACACTGGGACACTGCAGTCTCCTTAAGAGGAAAGGTGGAGCTGGAACTGAGCTTCTGCTGGGCAGAAAACGGGGAAAGAGAAAACTGCAAGCAGCCAAATGAAGGAGCAGCCCCACCTGCTGGCCCCATCCACAGCCCATACAACAGCAGCATCCAGCAACGCCCCAGCTGATGGAGGCCTTTGCCACCCATGAGGGCTGAGAGAGGGTCCGGGAAGAGCTCCCTGGCTCTCCAGACACTGCAGCATTAAACAAAACAAAGCTGGGCCCTGTCCAGGAGCCCACCTGGCCAGGGCTGAGGATAGGCAGACCTCAGTTCTTAGGCAGGCAGGGATGGAGATGGTGGGCCTTGCAGGAGGGTACCTGAGGGACCCACGCACCCACTACCCGGGCCCCGGCCTCCCATCTCCTCAGCAGATGCCCTGGCCATACCCATCTCCCCTGCAGCCAGCTACCTGAGTGGCCACACCAAGGGAAGTGGCCAGGCTTGGCCTCTCACCTCCACGCGCTCCCTGCCTGCTTGAGAGCTTGTAGGCTCTGCTCCTCGGCCTGGTGTCCACAGCCTTACACACAGGCCCTCCTGACTCACTGCCCACTCAGGCCAGACACCCTGGGACCCTGGATCCTCCCCTCCCAGGGTCCTCCCCTGCACCTCTCCAGATTCCCAAGTAACCAGAACCAGCCCCTTTCCCTCCTGCGGCCTACAAGACCCTTGCCTGGGCCCTGGTCCTCTGCCCCGCTGGCTCCATCCCCTCCAAGCCACACTCTTAGACAGTGAACTGGCCCCACAGCCTCCCTGTGCTCCTGGAAAACAGTTAAGTTCGTTCCCACCTCCATGTCCGCCTGCAGAACTGAGCCCTGTTCCCTCCTCTCTGCTCAGGTCACCTCCTGAGAGAAGCCCTCCCATCGGAGAGCACCTCTCTGCAGCTTGCCCAATGGTATGCCCCTGCCTGTTCCTCAGAAGGCATTTTCCACCTGGAAGCACCTTTCTGGCCAATGTACAAGCATTCTGGTGAGTGCCTGTCTCCACCACTGTAAAGCGTCTCCAGCCTCATCTTCTCCGCACCTTCACGCAGTGACCCCAGGAGCCAGCAGGCTGCCGGGCACAGTGGCTCAACCACGCCTGCCAGATGAGTCACTGGTGGTCAAGTGAGTGAGACGCCTCCCCAGCCCTTCCTCACACAGGACCCTCTCCTCTCACTCCATGCAGTCATCATGCTGGTCTTTTTTCTTTTTCTTTGAGACGGATACTTACTCTGTCACCCAGGCTGAAGTGCAATGGCGCGATCTCGGCTCACTGAAACCTCTGTCTCCTGGATTCAAGCAATTCCCCTGCCTCAGCCTCCCAAGTTCCAGGATTACAGGCGCTCGCCAGGACACCTGGCTAATTTTTGTATTTTTAGTAGAGACAGGGTTTCTCCATGTTGCCAAGGCTGGTCTTAAACTCCTGACCTCACATGATCCACCCACCTCGGCCTCCCCATGTGCTGGAATTACAGGCATGAGCCACCACGCCCAGCCTCATGTTGGTCTTTTTTTATTTTTTCGTTTTTTTTTAAATTCAGTCTCCATGGGAGGCTGAGGCAGGTGGATCACAAGGTCAAGAGATCAAGACCATCCTGGTCAACATAGTGAAACCCTGTCTCTACTAAAAATACAAAAAATTAGCTGGGCACGGTGGCGCGTGCCTGTAATCCCAGCTACTCGGGAGGCTGAGGCAGGAGAATTGCCTGAACCCAGGAGGCGGAGGTTGCGGTGAGCCGAGATCGTGCCATTGCACTCCAACCTGGGCAACAAGAGCGAAACTCCGTCTCAAAAAATAAATAACAGATTCAGCCTCCATAGAGACTGGCAAAAATTGCCAGGGCCGACTATACTTCAAGTCATCATGGTAGGGTATTGGGAGTTTTCAATTAGCAATAATCGCGCCTCGGATAACCCTCACAGGCTACAACGCTGTCCCTGCGCAAAGCTTCCTGTTGGTCTTTATGAGTGTGGCTGGGCCCAGTGGCTCACATCTGTAATCCCAGCACTTCAAGAGACTAAGGCAGAAGGATCACTTGAGCCCAGGAATTCAAGACAGGCTCTTGCTATGTTGCCCAGCCTAGGACTACGTGCTGCAACCTAGCAAGACCCTGTCCCTACAAAAAATTAAAAACAAGCCAGGCATAGCGACATGCACCAGCTACTCAGCAGGCTCACGTGAGCCCAGGAGGGTGAGGCATGGCCAGGGTGTCTGTAGTGAGCCGTGATTGTACCACTGTACTCCAGCCTGGGAGAGCGCTGGAGGCCTCCTCAACCCTGCCTCCCCAAGTGAGGGGGTACCGCCCAGTGTCCACTTCCAGACCTAAGGCCCTTCTGGCCACCTCACTGCAGCCACCAGGGAACCCGTGGGTCTCTGCTTGCTCCCTATCACCAGGATGAAATTCACATGTGTCCTGGCATGCAGCAGGTGTCACCTAATGGGGACAGCCAACCAGCACCTCCCCAGCCTCACTTCCTCCTCTGCAGCACCCCTCCCCGCTGCATCACCCCATTCAGCCCTCCCTCTGGGACCCCACGCCCTGCCCTCCCGTGGCAGCCCCCACACAGCTCTTGGCTCTGCCCAGGCCCCACTCCTTCCTGAGCCTTCTGATGCCTCCCTAGATAGTACCCTTGGCTGGGTTTCTTTTTTTTCAAGACAGAGTCTCGTTCTGTCGCCCAGGCTGGAGTGCAGTGGTGCAATCTCGGCTCACTGCAACCTCCCAGACTCAAGCAGCTCTTGTGCCTCAGCCTCCCCAGTAGCTGAGATTACAGGTGTGTGCTGCCATGGCTGGCCAATTTTTGTATTTTTGATAGAGATGGGTTTTTTATTTATTTATTTATTATTGAGATGGAGTCTCACTCTGTCACCAGGCTGAAGTGCAGTGGTGCAATCTTGGTTCACTGCAACCTCTGCCTCCTGGGTTCAAGCAGTTCTCCTGCCTCAGCCTCCCAAGTAGCTGGGACTACAGGCACGTGCCACCACGCCCAGCTAATGTTTGTATTTATAGTAGAGGCGGGGTTTCACCATGTTGGCCAGGATGGTCTCAATTTTTTACCTCATGATCCGCCTGCCTCGAACTCCCAAAGTGCTGGGATTATAGGCATAGCCAGCATGTCTGGCCAGAGACAGGGTTTTGTCACATTGGCCAAGCTGGTCTTGAACTCCTGGCCTCAAGTGATCCTCCCACTTTGGCCCCCCAAAGAGATGGGATTATAGGCATGAGAAACCACTCCCAGCCTTGGCTGGTTCTGAGCCCCAGTTCCCAGTCAGCGTGTCCAGGTCAGAGCCTGCTCAATCCCCAATGCCCACCTTCCCCAGATGTCACAAATACAAACTTGGGAAGCTACTGCCCTAACATGCCCTGGGGAACCACAGAGCTGCACAGGACCAGGTGCACATGGCTCCACGTTGACCCCCACAGTGTCTGGGGGGTGCCACATCCAAAGGCTCCAGACCCTCCAAGCTTGTGCCCACCTGGAGGCCGCACCCCCAGTATGTCCTGGCACCACCACCACAGTGCAGGTAGGGTCAACCTCAAAAGGGCTATGCCCCACAACCTGCAGACCAGGGCCTTCCCAGGCCACCACAGGGGCTCAGACGGGACCAGGTACACTATTAGTGATATGGCAAGAGACCAGACCGGCTCTGTCAGGCCACTCAGAAAATTCACATGAGCCAGGCACTGGGGCTCACACCTGTAACCCCAGCACTTTGGGAGGCCAAGGTGGGAAGATCACGAGGTTAAAAGATAAACACCAGCCTGGCCAACATGGTGAAACCCTGTCTCTACTAAAAATACAAAAATTATCCCGGGTTGGTGGTGCAAGCCTATAGTCCCAGCTACTCAGGAGACTGAGGCAGGAGAATGACTTGAACCCAGGAGCTGGAGGTTGCAGTGAGCTAAGCCTGGCGAGAGCAAGATTCTGTCTCAAGAAGAAAAAAACAGCACCATGTGACACTCAGAAAGGAAAGGGCAGGGCAGGTGGATCTGCAGCCCCAGCCAGAAGAGCACAGAAGGGCCCTGGAGGACCCAGAGGCCTGGGGGTGCCCAGCACAGCACGAGCAAGGGCTTCACCCCGCCTCAGGGTTCGGCAGCCACCCTCTCCTCCCTCAGGAGGGACAGAGCTGGGTACACACCAAGGGACATATGGAAAAGGCCACAGCGCCTGTCCAACAGCACATCCCACACCCGGACCACAGGGCACAGCACCCAGGCCCTCTCCTCCACCCGCCAGCCCACCACCCACTGTCTGCCAGGCAGTGCCCTCCTGGCCAGGGCCTCTAACAGCATGAGACAGGGAAGGTGCCCATGGCTCCCAACAGGCCGGCAGAGCCAGTGCAGGCGTACCCAGCCCCAGCACCCAGCGCCACTGCCCCCATCGTACCTTCCTTGGTGGGGAGGTGGGCCCGGCTCACGGGCAGGCGGCACAGCCGGTGTGTGGTGACCTGTACCAGGCCCTTGTTAGGGGTCTTCTTCAGGACAGGGCTGCTCTTCCCCCGGAGGGCCTGTCTCCGCCGGACGCTGAGGTGGCTCTTGGTGGTGGTGGCAAGTGAGGGGCTGCTTTTCTTGTCTCCAGGAAGGCTGTGGAAACACAATGCAGGCAGCTCTTAACAGGCCCTGGGGGCTCTGCCCACTCACCCTTCCTCACCAGGACTCAAGAGGCATGGGAGCAGTCCCCAAAGGTCAGGGCCAGGCCTCCCCCAACAGCAGCTCAGCCCACCCTCCACAGCCAGACTGAGGTGGTGGGCTTGAACCCACAAGCCCAGATGACTCCCAAGCTAGGACAGGCTGTCACAGAGAGAAGAGGGACCTCAGTACTCCATCCCCACCTGCGTGCCACCTCCTCCCCATCGGCCCAGGCCAGAGAAGCCCCTGTGTGGGGCAAGGGGAGGCGCCGACATCCCTAAGGAGAGCGGGCCGCCAGCTCCACATGGCCTTCCGAGCCCCCTCGGTAAGGGGGCAGCTTCTCTACACTCCCTCTCCACAATTCCTGGACAGAGAGAGCCACCAGCATGGTTTACAGCAGAGCTGCCGGGAGCAGGATCTGGGCACCTCAGAGCCTCAAGACAGTGCCTGTCTGAGGGACCAGGGCCAGAGAGAATGAGCTACAGGAGCCAGCAACCTAGGCCAGACAGCAGGGGTTCACAGCAAGGAGGTGCCTCCGTGTCTGACGATGAGGGTAGGACCTCTGCCCTCTGCCCAGAAGGTGCAGCCACCACCTCAGCTGCCGACCTGATGGGAGTCCCTGAGTCCAGACCAAGCACTGTGCCATGACACCATTTCTGAGTCTCATCCCAAGTCCGCAAGGGTGGAAGGCCAGGACGGATATGTGCCAAGCAAGGGAGTAACTCTGCCCAGCTGCTTGGCCAAGGGGCTAGGACCTAACACCCATCTGCCCACCCTGGAGCCAAAGGCCAGCTGTGGCCTCCGCACTCTGCGAGGGAGGCCACGGAGCCCAAAGCCAGGAAAACCCAAGGAGGCTGCCGCCTACCAGCCCCCCCAGCCCCGCCCACTCAGCCCCGCCCACCAGCCCCCATCCCCGCCCACTCAGCCCCGCCTACCAGCCCCCCCCAGCCCCGCCCACTCAGCCCCGCCTACCAGCCCCGCCCACTGAGCCCGGCAGGAGCAGCCCTCAGCCTGGGGGCCCGCAAAGGTCAGGCCTCCTGGAGCCCAAGTCCTAGACTCAGGGCATGCAGGAAAAACCAGGCACCCCTGGCAGGATCCAGTGCGCCAATCCACCTTCCAGCACAGACCTGTGGCCAGCAGCTCCAGGCCAGGGGCAGACACACTGCTTTCACTGTCTCACCCCCTGGGACACAGGGACCCTGGTCTGGTCCCTAGGGGCTGTTCCCCCTGCGCCTGGCCTGGCACAAAGCCTTCCATCTGTGAACCCTGGGCAACTGGAACAGAAGCTGCCCCCAGCAACCTTCTCATCTCTCACCGGCAGGAGAAAGGACAGGCTTGCCAGCACCATGAGGGAGGGACACCCACCCTCCCCAGTCTGTGCCAGGCCCTAGGCAAGCCCCCAAACCACCCAGAGCCTGACCCACAAGCTCTGGCAGATAGTAGCACTCCGTGCCTCATTCCTTGCTGGAAACGTGAACCTGACCGCAGGCGAAGCTCCGAGCTCAGCGGATGCACCTGGAGTGCCAAGAAACCCTCCTCACAGCCCCTCACACTCCACCACAGCCGACTGAGATGCCCACCTTGTACTGCCCCGCCTCCGGATGATCTTGGTGCGGCTCTTCACTTTGTAAGCTGAGAGTGAGGTCTCCCCAGAGAGAGGCTTCAAGCCACTGGGTCCTACCGTTGGTCTGTCCCCCGACGGGGACCTAGACAGGACTGGGGAGAGCTGGGAGGCATGTTCCTTGCTGCCGGCCTCCGAACGCCAACGGAAGGAGGAAGAGGAGGAGGCAGAGGGGCTGGATGCCTTCCACTTGTACTTGCTGGGGGCAGACCCTGGCTGGGAGGACGTGGCTGGCTTCCTGGGCTTGAGCTCTGGGTCGGCTCTGAGTTGTGGCTTCTCCACCTTGCCTGCCGTGCCAGCTGCAGCCTTGCACACATTCTCCGCAGCCAGTCTGGGACTGAGCGCCCTCCGAGCAGCCCGAGGACTCTTCGCGGAGGTGGCCACCCATTTGTAGTTGTTTTTCCGGAACTTGTTAGTTCGAAAGGACACAAGCGGCGAGGCCTCCCGGGCCTGCCTGGATCCTGAGGCTGGTCTGCCTGGGCCCACCACTGAGCCAGACAGAACTGGCTGATGTTCGTGGCCAGCATCTACTCTCCCATCCCCGAGGAACTGTGTAGCACAGCTGGCCACAGAATGAGAAGCCACCTTCCGGCCTACGGCCGTGCCAGTGCGTGGGGGCAGAGTGGAGGACGGGAAGCTGGCCTTGACGGCAGTCACACTCTCACTGACAGTCCGGCAGGGCTCCAGGGGGCTATCGCCTACATTACCCACAGACTTCACCACCCTGGGCTTACCAGGCTCCTTCTGGCAGACCAGAAGAGGATCTTCCACACTGCAGGTGCCCCTGGCTCTTGCTGGTCTTGAGGGCTGCAGCTGTCCCCCAGGGGGCTCACCTTCACCTTCCTGGGGCCTTTGGTCCTTCCAGGGGGTGTCCTCATATTCTTCCAAAGAGGCCCGCTGGGCCCCTAAAGCCTTGGCAGAGCCAGACTTTGATGGTGGTTTAATTTTGATGACCATGTTCTGACCTTGACTGAGCGGGACCTGTCTCTCAAGGACATGCTGCCGTGGGTCAGGAGCCTGGCCACCCCTAGCCCCGTGCAATGGCTGCACAGCATGGTCGCCAGGTGGGTCTGAGGGTCCCGGAGGCCAATTCACTAGGGAGTATTTCTTGCGCCACGAAGTCCCATGGTGTGAGGAGTAGCCTCTCCGGCTTGGACGAGGGTAACGGGCACTGAACGCCCTGCCACTGTGATAAGTGGGTGGCTGCCACTGGGAAGCTACTGGTGTGCCTGGGGCTGGGGCATTGCCGTGGAGGGTTTTGTAGTCATCGATGAGACCTGAGAAGACAGAACCACAGGCTCAGCTAGCCAGAGGGTAACGCAACAGTCATGACCACTCCCGAAGGGCATCAATGGCAAGACACCCCCAGACCCCATCTCACATCTGAGCCCCTGCCAGTTTCAGGAGGGACAGCCCCCAGTGCCTGGGACTCACTGACAACTCAGCCCACGTCATATGGGCTTGTCGCTTCCATGAGCCTTTTCTCCATCAGCTCCACTTCAATCCTAGTTTTGCCTGCTTAACACAAAAATGAACCACGTGGTAAAACAACCCCTATTTGCTGGTCTACTGGGTCCACAATCCTTTGATGAGAAGTATCACTCAGTATGAAGAGAACAGCAGTGATCCCCTCTGTATTATTTGGATCAGAGGAGACAAATTGACGGCACAGGCCCTCTGGCTTGCCCACAGATGGAAAGGGGGCACTCCACTGAGTGTAACAGAACTGGCACTCCTGAGGACTCCATGCCTGACAAAAGGAAACAAGAATACTACCAGGCTCAGTGGCTCACGCCTGTCATCCCAGCACTTTGGGAGGCCGAGGCGGGCAGATCACGAGGTCAGGAGTTCAAGACCAGCCTGGCCAAGATGGTGAAACCCTGTCTTTATAAAAATACAAAAATTAGCTGGGCATGATGGCGTGTGCCTGTAATCCCAGCTACTCGGGAGGTTGAGGCAGAGAACTGCTTGAACCTGGGAAGCAGAGATTGCAGTGAGCCGAGATCATGCCACTGCACTCCAGCCTGGGTGACAGAGCAAGACCCATCTCAAAAAAAGAAAACAAGAGTACTAGAAGCATAGACCACTGCCCTATCAGATGTCACAGTCCTCCCTGCAGAAGAGGAGAGAGCAATGGGCTGGAGTTCTACTGCAATGAACTGACACAACCACAGTTAAGTCCCTGGATAGTAGAAGGGCCAGGAACACAGGCAAGGACAGCAGCAGCCTGGGGTGCTCCGACTCACCCAGCAAACCAGCAACAGCCAGACTCCCCTGCCACAGCCCCTGCCCCCAAGGGCACAGAAAGCCATGTCCAGACCTGGTGACACCCAAGAGCAGGTGAAATGGGAGCCTGAGAAGTGGCCCCAAGTGGGAGGCGGCCCACCTGGCCTCTCCTCCACACACGCTTTCCCAATCCTTAAGTCTTTCCTTTGTGAGAATAAAACCAAAAAGGATTTTTCCTTTTCATTTTATTAGTTTTTGTTTGTTTGGTTGGTTTTGGCTTTTTATTTGAGACGGACTTCACTGCTGCCCAGGCTAGAGAGCAGAGGCCCAAACGCAGCTCACTGCAGCCAGGACCTCCCAGGCACAAGCGAACCTTCCACCTCAGCCTCTGAGTAGCTGGCACTACAGGCGTGAGCCACCACGCCCATCTCATTTTTTAACATTTTTCTGTAGAGACAGGGTCTCGCCAGGTTGCCCAGGAAGGTCTGGAACTCCTGGGCTCAAGCCATCCTCCTGCCATGGCCTCTCAAAGTGCTGGGATTACAGGCATGGGCCACTGAGTCTGGCCATGATTTTTGTTTGTTTGTTTTATTTTGTTTAAGTTTGGAAAGACCAATTTGGGTTTTTTAATGTTTAAGTGTGGAAGCTGAAGCCTGTTGAGTCTGCGCCTGGAATACCAAGGGGAATGTGACCGCACGGAGAAAAGGGCCATCAAAACAGGAGTTGAGGCCAGGCATGGTGGCTCACGCCTGTAATCCCAACACTCTGGGAGGCCAGGGCGAATGGATCACCTGCGGTCAGGAGGTAGAGACCACACTGGCCAATATTTCACCCCGTCTCTACTAAAAATACAAAAATTAGCTGGGCGTGGTGGCGCATGCCTGTAGTCCCAGCTACTGGGGAGGCTGAGGCAGGAGAATCGCTTGAACTGGGAGGCGGAGGTTAGAGTGAGCCGAGATCGCGCCACTGCACTCCAGCCTGGGCGACAGAGCAAGCCTCTGTCTCTAAAAAACAAACAAACAAATAAAAATGGGCGTCAAGGAAGGAACCTGCGTGCGCCCCGAGCCTGCTCTGCCGCAGTGAGCCAGGAACCAGTCCCAGCTCCGCAGGAGGGCGCGGGGAGAGAGGGGGGGAACCTGGGAACCCAAGAGCTCAGGGGGGTGGGTGGGCCGCCGCCTCCCGCGGGTTACTAAGCGACGGCCCCGCCTCCACCTTCCGCAGCCGCCGCAGGGCCAGCACCCCTCCCTCGACAAAGCTGGAGCAGGGGACTGACCCGCGCCCCGGGCCCCGGGCCCCGGGCCGGCCCGCAAGTCCTGACAGACCCTACCGTCCCCCACCCCAGCCGACACTCGGAACCCGCGGGCGGAGGGCGACCCTCCGACGAGGGGGGCTGGGGACCCGCCGCGAGGTGAGGGGGAAAGAAGGGGACTCGCGTCCCGGCCCCGGTAGGACCTACCCTGCAGGAGGCGGATCTGCCGCCGTAATATCTCCTTTTCCTCCATCTCCTGAGTCCCCGACGCCCGGCCAGGCCCCCGCGACGTCATCGCTACGCGACCGTTTCCCCGCGGGCGGGGCGAGGCGGAGCGGAGCGGGCCGGGGCGGAGCCGCGGGGAGCGGGCCCGGATGTCGGCCGGCCGCCTACGACCCGCCGTCGCCCTGGCAGTGGCAGCGGGGAGGCGGAGCCGCACACAAGCAGAGAAGGCGGGACGTCACTAGTGAGCGCCCGGAAGTGGCCCGGTCGTGGCTGGGAAGTGGCGGCTCCTGCTGTGGGGGGCCGTCCGGCTAGGATTGTGCCGCCCGGATTCGCGTGCCCTTGGGAAACTGCGGGAGGGGCGAGACCTGCGACCGTCCCAGGCCGCACTGCAACTCCTTCCCACGTCCCTGCGTTTCATTTCGCGCCGGTTGAGAGTTAGGCTCTACGGGGAGGGGGGCGCCATGGGAGAAGGGCCAGTTAGCAGTTACGGTTGGCCCGGGAAGCTCTGTGAACGCTCTTACTGTGGCCGGAGGAGAAGACGTAGGAGAGCAAGGTTCCTTGGATAGAGCTGTTGGAGCCCTGAAAGCAGGAAAGCTTGTGGTTCCGTAAGAACGTGTTCCCGTGTAAACCTCAGTGCGCTGTTGGTGGGAATGCAAATGGCGCAGCGCCGCAGGAAGCTGGTGAGATTCCTCAAGAGGTTAAAAGTAGAACTGCAGGCCGGGCGCGGTGGCTCAAGCCTGTAATCCCAGCACTTTGGGAGGCCGAGGCGGGTGGATCACGAGGTCAAGAGATAGAAACCATCCTGGTCAACATGGTGAAACCCCGTCTCTACTAAAAAATATACAAAAAATTAGCTGGGCATGGTGGCGCGTGCCTGTAATCCCAGCTACTCAGGAGGCTGAGGTAGGAGAATTGCCTGAACCCAGGAGGCGGAGGTTGCAGTGAGCCGAGATCGCGCCATTGCACTCCAGCCTGGATAACAAGCGCGAAACTCTGTCTCAAAAAAAAAAAAAAAAAGTAGAACTGCCGGACTTGAGGGCGATCCGGCTGTGACATCTGTCACCCCAGTAACCGCCAGGGTTGATTTGGCTGCTCTGGCTGGCTGGGCGGGTGTCCCTTCCTCGCCACTTCGAGTGTGTCCTTCCCGAAGCTGCGGCTCAGTCGAAGAGGACAACCATACCCGGTAGAGGTGCTGCGCTCCCCCGCTAGAAGCTCCAAACAAGCGCTCAAGGTCCATTTGTAGGAGAACGTAAGGTTGTCAAGACTGCAAACACATCCAAATGAGGAGCTGCCTGTGGCAATCTGCCTTTCTAGAAGAAAAAATAGAACTAACGTGTGATCCAGCAACCCTACTTCTGGCTGTATTCCCAAAAGAATGGAAATCAGAGACTCGGACCTAATTTGTGCCCCCCGTGTTCACTGCAGCATTTTTTACAAGAGCCAAAGGGAAACAGCCCATGCGTCCATGGGTGGATGGAAAGATAAACAAAATGTGGTCCATACAAACGATGAAATACTTTTCACCCTTAAAAAGCAAGGAAGTTCTAACACAGGATACACCATGAATAAACCCTGAAAACATTGTGTTATGTAAAATAAGCCACTCGCGAAAAGACAAATGTGTGATTTACTTAACGTGAAGTATCAAGAATGAAGATTCTTAGAGACAGAAGGTAGATTAGATTAAAGGTTCAGGGGCTGGGGAAGGAGGGTTGAAGAAGCATTGTTTAATGGGTGTAGGGTTTCTGTTTGGAGTGATGAAAAGTTTTGAAAGTAGTGATGATGGTTATACAAAGCTGTGATGGTAACAATGCCACTGAATTGTACACATTAAAATGGCTAGGCTGGGCCAGGTGGCTCACTCCTGTAATCCCAGCACTTTGGGAATCCAAGGTGGGCAGATCATGAGGTCAGGAGTTCACGACCAGCCTGGCCAACATGGCTAAACCCCGTCTCTACTAAAGATACAAAACCTAGCCAGGCATGGTGTCAGGCACCTGTAATCCCAGCTATTCAGGAGGCTGAGGCAGGAGAATTGCTTGAACCTGGAGGCAGAGGTTGCATGCAGTGAGCCGAAATTGTGCCACTCACTCCATCCTGGGGGACAAAGCAAGACTCTAAGAAAAGAAAAAAGGCTAAAATTATGCAGCGTTCACGCCAAGGGCTTGAGACAGTTAGCGTGACTTGCCCCATCTTGGCTGCTGGACCTATCTGCACTCCCACCTCTCGAGGGCTGTCGAGCTGAGACAAAAGGCCTCGGGCTGAGTCACTGAGGCAAAAACAGAATACAAAGCAAAGGTCTGCGGTTTATGAGGACATTGTGCTGTCTGCTTTCATGTCCCCATCAGTCTCTGTGTAAGCAATAAACTTGCTACAATCGAGATGCCTAAGAGGGACAAGAGACCCCTGCCCATATTTTCCCTGGAGCTAAGCCTTTGATCTACCCCCTGATGGAAAACAGGATCAACAAGCCACCTTAAAGGCGCCATTGTTTGTTTGCACTGTGCATCTTTGAAAAACATAAACTGCTTTGTAAACTATTATCACAAGCCCCCTTAAACTGCTTTGTGAGCGGTTATCGCAAGCCCCTGATCACTATTTTTATGGAGTTTCTATTTCTTCTGTTTACCCCTTTTCTGCTGAGATAAAGTAAGTGTAACAAGAAAAAAGGTATAAAAGCTGTAGCCCACAAGAATAAACTTGCTGCGTTTTGACCATAAGATACGCAGACCTCCAGACTCCGCTTTCCTTTTTTCTTTCACTTCCGCACAGTCTGTCCCTCAGGTTGAATGAGACATCTACGTTGGCGGTCTCGGGGACTCCCGCAGGTCAGTACCCCCCCGCAGACATGCCAGACCCCAACATCTGGTGCCCAGGACAGGGACGCACCCCAAATCAGAGGAGACAAGATAAGGCTGCGGTTCTTGTAGTTCTGGACTCAAAATTCATTGGGAGTAAAATATGGAGCAATGTGAGTCCAGAAATCAGTCTGTGTTCACGAAATTATTACATGAAATGTTAAGAAATAAAGGTGCTGATGTAAAAATGGAACATGTTTCTAAGTTTTTAGAGATTGTTTACGAATTGTGCCCGTGGGTCCCTGAGGAGGGATCATTAGATGAATCTACCTGGAGTAAAATAGGAACTAATATTGAGGAATACGCCGCCACTCATCAATCTTCCCCGCAGGCAGAGCTGCTTCTTTCGGTTTGGCCACAGTTGCGCCAGTCTGCCTGCCTGCTGCTTCTCTTGCTTCTAATCCCTCTTCTTTCTTTTACAAATTTAACCCTGATAATGGAGGGGGCAGCTGTAACTTACCACCTTGTAATCCTCTAAACAAGCCCGATTCTGCCCTAGGAGTCGGACCTGGAGCCGGAAATGGAGGAGCTCGGGATGAAGGGATCGGAACCGAAGTAAAAAATGGCGCTTCGGAGAACACGCAGGTGATGGCTTCAGCTGCGCCCTTAATCCTTACCCCCGAGCAATTTTCCAGGCTCCTGGCTTCACTTTCCAAACCCACTCAGGCTTTTCCTGTAGTTACAACGCCTTCCTCTAAGCCTGTGGTGCGCTCTACCCCAAGATAACCTATCCTTGCAACTACTTATGCCTTTGAATCTATGAAACGGATTTCCCGATTCTGACCTCCACCTCATCTGTCCCCTTATAGAAGTGACCAATCAAAATGGTGAGATTGTCCATCATTATGAACCTATTCCGCCAAAATTCCTGAAAGATTTCAAGGAGGCAGTGAGTAATTACGGACCTACTGCACCTTATACTCTCTCTTTACTTGAAAATTTTGGTACTCAGGCCATGACCCCTGCAGACTGGCATCACGTCGCCAACGCCTGCCTTTCAGGCAGCGACTACTTATTGTGGAAAGCTTATTATGATAATGCCGCTTTCGATGTGGCGGAAAGGAATGAGAGACAAATAGTGGGAGTTAATTTGCAGATGTTAAAAGGTACAGGTGATTATGAAAGTGTTCAGGCACAAGTTGCCCTCCCAGAAGCGGCGTTTGGGCAGGTAAATGCTTTAGCTTTGTGTGCCTGGAGAAAGCTTCCCACTCATGGAGAATTTACTGATGAAATTACCAAAATTAAACCGGGAAATGAGGAACCTTACCAAAATTTTGTCTCTAGATTAATGCAGGCAGTCAAACGGCAATTTGGAGATAGCGAGTCAGCTCAATTATTTACAAAACAATTGGCCTATGAAAATGCTAATACTAGTTTCCAGTCCATTCTCTGCCCATGGAGAAAAGCTTCCCTTTACAAGACCTTAGGAAAGTAAATGAATTATGGAAGTCATGGGACCACTGCAACCTGGTCTCCCTTCGCCTATTCTTGTTCCTCAGAATTGGGAATGACTAGTTATTGATTTGAAAGATTGCTTCTTTTCCATCCCCTTGGCACCTCAAGATTGCTGCAGGTTTGCCTTCAGTGTTCCTGCCACCAATTTTGACAGGTCTTTTGAGCGCTATGAGTGGACCGTTCTTCCTCAAGGTATGGCGAACAGCCCCACCTTGTGTCAGAAATTTGTTGCTTAAGTAATTGCGCCCCTCAGTGAGCGCTATCTGGATGTCCTTTTGCTACATTATATGGATGATCTCCTTTTGGCCGCTCCTTCCCCCGGCCTCCTACAGGAAGCCTTTCGGGATTTAAGCTACCTCCTTACAAATTCAAACTTAGTCATATCTCCTGACAAAGTCCAAAAGGTAACTCCTTTCCATTACTTGGGTCGCCTCATTGACTCCAATCAAGTGTCCTATAAGACTCCTGTCCTATCTACTGCCCATCTCAGTACACTGAATGATTTCCAAACGTTTTTGGGAGATATTAACTGGATCAGACCTAGCCTTAAATTAACTAGTGGTCAGCTTAAGCCTCTTTTTGATATGCTCAGAGGCCCCGCAGACCCAAAGTCTCCCCAGAACTTACTGATGAGGCTAAACATGCCTTGCAATTGGTGCAAGATGCTCTCTCTGAGCAAAAACTAAACCGTGTCACTACTGGAGTGCCTTGGTGTTTATGCATTTTACGCACCTCTTACACCCCCACAGGTCTTTTCTGGCAAAAGGGAGTCTTGGAGTGGCTCCACCTGTCTGCCGGTCGGCCTCGTATTGTCACTCCTTATCATGACTTAGTGTCTATGCTAATTGCCCAAGGCCACCTCAGGGCACTCACTCTCTCTGGCTCTGACCCACCTATTGTGATTGTTCCTTACAGCACCCAAGAACAATCGTGGTTGTGGTCATTTTCTGACTCATGGCAATTAGTTCTTGCAGGTGTCACAGGACAGCTTTCCTGCCACTATCCCAAAGACAAAATACTGCATTTTTATTCCAAATGTAATCTTATTTTCCCCAAGCCATGTTCTTTGCAGCCAATTTCTCAGGCCGCTTTGGCATTCACAGACAGTTACTCAAACGGACTTGCCGCTGAACAGATTGATGATGTTCCCTTTTCTTTCCAGACACCTGAAACTTCCACCCAAAGGGTGGAATTGCTTGCTGTTCAACACGTGCTCTGCACTTGTGGTCAGTCAGTTAATATATACTCTGACAGTCAATATGTAGTTAACCTGATCAGTCTGCTGGAGACAGTGCCCTTGTCATTTTCTGACAGTCCTGCTATAATACACCTACTTCTTCCTTTACAGCAGACCGTCCGCAAGTGGACTCAGCAATTCTTTATTGGTCACATTCGTGCACATACTGATTTACCCGGTCCTCTCTCTGCAGGCAACAGGCGTGCTGATGCTCTCACTTGCCCAGTCATAGCCCCTGCCCTTTCTCGTTACAACGGGCTGAGACGTCCCATGCCCTGCACCACCAGGGCTCCCGTAGCCTGCGGTTACAATTCCAGATCACCAGAGAACAGGTTCCTGCCATTGTTAAGCAATGCCCTGCTTGTGTGACTCACTTGCCTCAAACTGCACATACCGGAGTAAACCCTCGTGGCCTACAGCCTGGCCACATCTTTCAGATGGATGTCACCCATATTGCTTCCTTTGGTCATTTAAAATATGTGCATGTAACTATTGACACTTTTTCTCATTTCATAATAGCTTCAGCCCATACAGGAGAGGCAGTCAAAGACGTGACTGCTCATTGTCTACTCGTGTTCTCCAGCCTAGGTGCACCAAACATTTTGAAGACTGATCCTGCTCCAGCTTCCACCAGCTCTTCATTCCAAACCCTTTGTTCTCAATTCCAGGTGATTCATAAGACAGGAATTCCCTGTAATCCTCAAGGACAGGGAATTGTTGAATGTGCTCATTTCACCCTTAAAACTTTATTACTTAAACTAAATAATTCACCTCCTTCCTTTTGCAAGTCTCCACATGATGTACTTCGGTATGCTCTTTATGTTCTAAATTTTTTAACCCTTGATGCCGAGGGCCACTCAGCAGCTGATCGATTCTGGCACCCAAAGGACTCAGCCACACCTGTGGTGTTATGGAAAGATTTATTCTCTAATCAGTGGAATGGCCCTGACCCAGTGTTAGTTTGGGGCAGAGGTCACGTTTGTGTCTTTCCTAGATCTGCCCCCTCACCTATCTGGGTGCCCGAGTGACACGTCAAGCATGCCCCAAAGAAGACAGTCCTCTCCGAGACCAGTGACCATCCCTCTTCCTCGACTAACATCTCCCCGTCGGCCGTTCCCTCAGATGACTTCACCGAACTCCCTTCCCCTGAGAATCCGACGTCTACGCCTACGGAGGACGACATCCCTCCGTGTCCATCGCCAGCGGCACCAGCCGACGCCTCCTCAAGAAGTTCCAGTCCCAACCTGGACCCAGATGCGACACCCAGTGGCTGACGCATCACACATTGTCCATCAGCAAGGACATTCTCTTAATCCGGTTGCTCTATTTTTAGCCATGCTAGCCATTTTCTACGTTGGCACACACTGTGCCTACTTATGATTCTCCTGACGCCTTTTGGGCCTATGTTCCTGATCCTCCTTTACTCCGTCCTGTTACCTGGGATGATCCTACCTTTACTGTCTTCCTTAACGACATGTCAATATTTGGCACCCCTTCAGCCGCTCACATCTATCCTCAATCAGCAAACTACACCTTCTTTGGTCAATCCATTTCTCCTCCTATGTGTTTCCATGCTGCCAAGCTGTACTCTATGCCCTTTTACATAGAAGATCTACATTACACACCTGTATCTACTGCTCAGCCTTCACCCTCCTATTGCTTCAATTTAGGCATTCGCCGTTCCTTTGCTTATAGCGGCCTTGAAACTCTACCCAGAAATACTCCTCAATTTAATAGAAATTGGATTGCATCCTATATTGGACTCAGGGAATCGTTAGAAGTTACTCTTGCTCAACTGCCCATATATGACCAGCAACATTGCCATGTGACCAACAAATCGCTTGACCCCGCACCTGTCTGGCACTCTTGTCTTTCCCCATCAGCTCATGCTCTTCGTTCCCACCTTGTTACAGGGTTTCCTCTTTATGATTGGTCTGTACCCTCTCCTCGTCTTTCTGGTATCCATCGAAATGAGTCCCCCGGAGCATGGAACACTCCCCTGTATACCACAGCCTCTGGCAAAACCGATTCCTCTCTATGGAGGCTTTTCCTGGTTATTCATCCTACAGTTTACACAGGCCACGGAAGCAACGTTGATAAGCCTGTACAAACCTTCTCCATACGTTCATGCATAGCTGCTCCCTATGCCCTTCTACTAGGGCCAGTACCTTTTCAGGTTCAAAATGGTCATTATACTATTTCCTGCTTGAATTGCCTACTCACAAATTGTATTGATGCCCCATGTTCCCTGTTGACACAATTCTTGTTGTTCATCAGCCCCCTTACATTATGCTTCCTGTAAATATCCCAGGTCCTTGGTATGATGAGCATTCATACTCTCTGTTTTACAAAACCCAATCTCTGCTCCTTTGGCATCAAAAATGTTTCCTTGGTATACTCATTGCTGGATTTATAGCCATTGTGTCTGTGATAGCTTCTACAGCTACAGCTGCTGTTAGTCTTTCAAAATCCGTTAATACTGCTATATATGTGAATCACTTGGCAAAAAATGTTTCTATTGCTATGGGAACTCAAATGTCTATTGATGATAAGTTAGAAGCTAAACTGAATGCCTTAGAACAAACTGTAACCATCTTAGGGGACAAAGTGTATAACTTAGAAAATCGACTTCCACTTAGATGTCATGCTCACTATAAATATATATGTGTTGCCAGTGCTCCCTACAATGGTTCCCAGTGGCAGTGGCCACTTATTAAGGCCCATTTACAGGGCATCTGGTCTCATAACAATCTCTCTCTTGACATCTCACGTTTGCAGCAAGAAATTTCGGCCATTGACCTTTCTCGGTCACAATTACCTGATGACAATTCTATTGCTCACAGTTTTGTTGATGCCATGTCCTCTTGGATAAATCACTTTCATCTCCCTTCCTTTTCATCTCTGCTTGTCATTGCTGTTTGTGTTCTTATATTGCTAATGTGCCTGTCATGTGTCTTCCATCTCGTATTCTCCACCCTCCGAGAAATGCAACTGAAGGTGTTTGCACTTCATTTGCAAAGTAAAAAAGTGGGAGATGTGCAGCATTCGTGCCAAGGGCTTGAGACAGTTAGTGTGACTCGCCCCATCTTGGCTGCTGGACCTATCTGCACTCCCACCTCTCGAGGGCTGTCGAGCTGAGACAAAAGGCCTCGGGCTGAGTCACTGAGGCAAAAACAGAATACAAAGCAAAGGTCTGCGGTTTATGAGGACATTGTGCTGTCTGCTTTCATGTCCCCATCAGTCTCTGTGTAAGCAATAAACTTGCTACAATCGAGATGCCTAAGAGGGACAAGCGCCCCCTGCCCATACTTTCCCTGGAGCTAAGCCTTTGATCTACCTCCTGATGGAAACAGGTTTAACAAGCCACCTTAAGGGCACCATTGTTTGCTTGCACTGTGTATCTTTGAAAAACAAACTGCTTTGTAAACTATTATCACAAACCCCCTTAAACTGTTTTGTGAGCGGTTATCACAAGCCCCTGATCACTATTTTTATGGAGTTTCTATTTCCTTTCTGTTTACCCCTTTTTCTGCTGAGATAAAGTAAATGTAACAAGAAAAAAGATATAAAAGCTGTAACCCACAAGAATAAACTTGCTGCATTTTGACCATAAGATACGCAGACCTCCAGACTCCGCTTTCCTTTTTTCTTTCACTTCCACGAACTCTCTCCCTCAGGTTGAACGAGACATCTACGTTGGCGGTCTCGGGGACTTCCGCGGGTCGGTAGCCCCCCGGCAGGCGTGCCAGACCCCAACATAAAATGACAACTTCTATGCTGTAAGAATTTTACTACAGTGAATAAGGAATAAGCAGTGTTAAAGTTCTTCAGGCCTGGTGCAGTGGTCACGCCTGTAACCCCAGCACTTTGGGAGGCTGAGGTGGGCAGATCACCTGAAGTCAGGAGTTGGAGACCAGCCTGACCAACATGGTGAAACTCGTCTCTACTAAAAATTGAAAAATTAGCCGGGCATGGTGGCAGGCACCTGTTATCCCAGCTTCTCAAGAGGCTGAGGCAGGAGAATCACTTGGAGCTGGGAGGTGGAGGTTGCAGTGAGCCAAGATCGCACCATTGTACTCCAGCCTGGGCAATAAGAGTGAAACTCCATCTCAAAAAAAAAGAAGGGAGGGCATGGTGGCTCACGCCTGTCATCCCAGCACTTTGGGAGGCCAAAGCAGGCAGATCACAAGGTCAGGAATTCAAGACCAGCCTGGCCAACGGAGTGAAACCCCGTCCCTACTAAATACACAAAAATTAGCTGGGTGTGGTGGCTCGCACCTGTAGTCCCAGCTACTCGGAGGCTGAGGTGGGAGAACTGCTTGAACCTGGGAGGTGGAAGTTGTAGTGGGCCCAGACCATGCCATTGCATTCCAGCCTGGGCAATAGAGTAACACTCCATCTCAAAAAAAAAAAGAAAAAGAAAAAGAAAAAAAGTTCTTCAGGCTTAAGATGATGCAAGGTGATACAATGTGGAGTCTCAGATCTGCAAGATGGAAGAGTATAGGAAATGAGAAGTATGTTAGAAATTTTTATTTTCTATAAAACAGGTACAGCAAAAATAAGATATCAAGCTTATTTTTTTTTTTCACATCACATATGTAGATGTGAAACGTGGCAACAGTGGCGCAGGGGACTTGCGTGCACGGTGCATCTGAGAAACCCCTTTGCACACAGGTAAAGATGCAGCCCATGGCCTCCACCCAGCGTGCCTCTGGCCTGCTCCCAAGGCCAGCATCTGAACCTCTCACCAGGGGCTGGCATCACTCTACCTCACATACAGTGACAGGCACTGTGGGGGCTTCTCTAGTGGCGGTGGCAAAGACAGCTTGCTGGCTGGAGAGGGCTGGCTCCCCAAGCAGAAGGACGAGTGGAGGCTGGGAAGCCCATGCAGTAGAACAGGCCATTTCAGGCCGTGGGCCCCGCAGCCAGGACTCCCACCTAGCCCAGGTGGGTCTGGGGAGAGGCGGAATCCATCTGAAGCCATCTTTGCTTCCTGCTGCCTTGCAGACCCCACCCAGGCACCACCCTGTCCTATGCTCCCTCCTCGTCCTCCTCTCCCACTACAACTCTCCCAGCTGAACACTTAGCTAGAGTTTCTGCCTCTCTCCTTCCAGGTGGCCAGGAGTGGTCTGTAGACAGGCCAGTGGGCCACCATGAGAGCACTCTTGAGAGTGAATGGGATGAAATTTCCCCTCAGGGGTCTTGATGAGCAGTCATGCAGTGAACTAACCCTGTCGCGTTTCCCTCAAGACTCTTGTGGCCATTACCTCGTGATAGCTGGGGCTGGCCTGCTGGGCCACGACCAGCACATGTGGAGCACTGAGAACAGAAGATGTGTGTCCGCACGTGCTGAATTCATCTGTTGAAATCCTGAACATCAGTGTGATCGTATCAGGAAGTGGGGCCTCTGAAAGGAGGTTAGGTCATGAAAGTGGAGCCCTCATGAATGGGACTAGCGCCCTATAAGAAGCAACAGTGGGGCTGGGCGCCATGGCTCAGATCTGTAATCCCAGCACTTGGGGAGGCTGAGGTGGGCAGATCACAAGATCAGGAGTTTGGGACTATCCTGGCCAACATAGTGAACATTATTCTCTATTAAACATACAAAAATTAGCTAGGTGTGGTGGCATGCACCCATAGTCCGAGCTACTGGGGAGACTAAGGTAGGAGAATCGCTTGAACCTGAGACAGGGAGGTAGAAGTGAGCCGAGATTGTGCCATTGTGGTCCAGCCTGGGTGACAGAGCAAGATTTCGTCTAAAAAAACATTATCCAGGCATGGTGGCAGGTGCCTGTAGTCCCAGCTACTCGGGAGACTGAGGCAGGAGAATGGCTTAAACCAGGGACACAGAGGTTGCAGTGAGCCGAGATTTCGCCACTGCACTCCAGCCTGGGTGACAGAGCAGGACTCTTACCTCAAAAAAAAAAAAAAAAAAAAAAAAGCAGCACAGCAGCCACCAGAGACTAGCTGTCTTTTGCCCGCCATGTGATAACACAGCAAGATGACAGCTAGGCCAGGAGTGGTGGCTCATGCCTGCAAGCCCAGCACGTTGGAAGATCCAGGCAGGCAGATCGGTTGAACCCAGGAGTTCAAGACCAGCCTGGACAACATGGTGAAACCCCATCTCTATGAAAAATACCAAAAATCAGCTGGGCATGGTGCTGTGTACCTGTAGTCCCAACTAAGGAGGCTGAGGTGGGAGGACTGATTGAACTCAGGAGGTCGAGGCTGCAGTGAGCTGTGATCACGCCACAGCACTCCAGCCTGGGCAACAGAGCAAGATCCTGTGTCAAAAAAACATCAGCAAGAAAGAAAGGGAAAAAAAGGGTTGGGGGAGAGAGAGAGAAAGAGAAAGAAAAGAAAACAATGAACTGTGACTGTGTGTCTGTGTCACAGGGCAAACCGCCAAATTGGGGCTCAGGCCAGGAGGCCACATGGGTTCTTGAGTTAGCACAGGAAAGAATTTAAGAGAAGCCAACAGGGGGCGGGGGGCAGCCTGTACGTTTTCTAATCGACGCGGGGGCTGAACTGCAAACACCCTTGGGCAGTGTCTCTAACAGAAGGGTGGCTGCACAGGGGGCTGCTGGAGCCATTCAGGAGTATCCTGTTGCCCATTCATGTGAAGTGAACTTAGGTCACAAGAGAGTAACTCATTCCTTTCTACTAGTTCCAGAGGGCCCCTTCCCTCTCCTCCGGCGAGACCTGCTCCACAGGTTGCAGGCATCCATCTCCTTCTCAGCTTAGCAAGTTTGTCTCAAGTTAGGGGACACAGAGCCCCCTCCTGCTCAGCTCCTGCTGACTGCCCCCTATCAGAGGAATAGCTTAGTCTTGTCCTCACAGCTGAAAAAGGGCAAAACTAACCCTCTCCTACTAGATCTGCAAACTCTTTTTCCCCGGGTCTGGGCAGAATCAAATCCTCCAGGACTGGCAAAGCACCATCCGCTGGTAGTTGTAGAACTTGTGGCTACTGCCCTGCCTGTTCCGGTCAAGCAATATCCTATGAGCCAGCGGGTTAGAGGGGGAATCAGCCCCCACATTCAACGGCTCTTACAAGCCGATACACTTACACCTTGCCAGTCTGCTTGGAACACTCCATTCCCGCCAGTTCAGAGACCGGGGACAGATGATTGCAGGCCAGTGCAGGACTTACGGGAAGGTAACAAGTGGACAGTCTCGGTCCACCCAACTGTCCCTAACCCTTACACACTCTCAGCTGGCTCCCACCAGAACACACCGTGTACACTGTCCTGGGCTTGAAAAACGCTGTCTTCGCCATTCCTCGGGCTCCTAAGAGCCAACCTATTTTTGCTTTCGAAGCACAGAGGTAGAATCCCCCCTATTTTTGCTTTCGAATGCACAGAGGTAGAACTCCCCCACTCTTTTTGAGGAAACTTCAGCAGGACCTTGTGCTGTTCCAAGCCAGTCACCCTAACTGTGCTTTGCTTCAATTCGTGAACAACTTGCTATTGGCTACTGAAACTGCCGGAAGCTGCCTGCAACACACTAAGACTTCCTTCACCTCCTTCGGGAGCTCGGGTGCCAGGTCTCAGCCAAAAAGGCCCAGTTTGGTCTTTCTAGGGTCTCCTATCTGGGATGTGAACTAAACCAAGGGAAAAGAGCCCTCACCAGTGCTTGAAAGGAGGCCATGTTGTGGATCCCGACCCCCACCACCAAAAGACAGGAACATGAGTGCTCGGGGGCCACGGGATCCTGCCGCCTGTGGATGTTGGGGTTTGCTGAAATTGCCAAGCCTCTGTACACAGCTACAGGAGGAAGTGGCCCTTTAGTTTGGGCTGACACAGAAGAACAGGCCTTCCACAACTTAAAGAAGGCACTAACTGAGGCCCCTGCTTTACCATTTTACCTGTTTGTCCGTGAAAAGCAGGGAGTGGCTAAAGGTGTGCTCATTCAAACCTTGGGGCCTTGGCGATGCCCCGTGGCGTATCTGTCTAAAAGATTAGACCCTCTGGCCTGCAGGTGGCCAGGTTGTCTGCGAGCAGTGGCAACAACAGCAAGCCTAGTTCATGAGGCGGATAAGCTCACTCTGGGCCAGAATTTAACCCTCGCGGCACCGCATGCCACAGAGGCACTGCTGCGAGGTGCTCCTGGCAAGTGGATGTCTAATGCCCACATCCTGCAATATCAGAGTTTGCCGTCAGATCGGCCTCACTTAACTTTCTCCCCGACAAGGTGTTTAAATCCAGCTACTCTACTCCCTGATCCACACTTCACCACCCCTGTCCATGACCGCCAGGAATTACTAAAAACCACAGACAGGTACCGGATCTCCAGGACGCTCCTTTAAAAAAGGCGGATGCCACCGTGTTTACAGACGGTAGCAGTTTCCTTGAGCAAGGGGTGGGAAAAGCTGGTGTGGCTGCTGCCACGGAGACCGAGGTACTGTGGGCCCAGGCGCTGCCGGCTGGCACCTCCGCACAGAAGTCTGAGTTAATTGCCCTCACTCGAGCCCTCCGACAGGGTAAGGGCAAACGTGCTAACATCTACACTGACAGCCGATATGCCTTCGCTACTGTGCACCATCACGGGGCCATTTATCAGGAGCCGGGGCTACTCACTTCAGCAAGAAACGATTAAAAACAAGGCA